CTTTTTAATTCGTGACATTGACATTTTTAAACAGCAATGGCCAAGTATCTTGTAGAATGGTCTTCAGACTTGGTTTCTCTAATCTTTCCCCCAACATTGGATCCAGACAAAAGTCTGAGCAAGGCTATGCTACAAGAGTGCTACTCTGTTCTTCTCCTGCTTCCCAGAAAACGGGATACCCCTGTGCCCCACCATGGATGATGCCACATGGATCATCCAGTTAAGGTGGTGCCTTGGATTTCTTCTTTGTAAAGGTGCTTTTCCTGCTTTGTCAGTAGTAAATAATCTCAGAGACTGCATGGCTATCCTGTTCCCTTATTTCTTTCAACCAGCAGTTTTAGCAAGAATCGATGATCCTTTTCTGAATGATTCATTATATAGGTGGTTTTCCAATGGTGGGATATTTTTTTCTGTTTTATCATGATTTCCATATACATTAGCTAATATTATTATGTAAAGAAGAGTTGTCCCTTGGTCAGACACCTTTTTGGGGGAGTGAGGAAGGGATGGAATATTCTGAAATTTTCATGACTATTGGTGTAGAAAATACTTGGGAAAATACTTGTTGTGGTTCAGAGATAAACTAGGTTAATGTCAAAGAAATTCAGGTGCTTCCTAGATTATGAATTATGTGTTCAGCTGAATGTCCCACAGCTCTTTAAGAGGACAGCATACTAGGGCTACTTCCTGGCACTCTTTAAGTGCCACTCTTGGCTCCCTGTTGCCTTTTCTCATCTAGTTGGTGTTTCTCCTCCCTGTTGTTTCTGCCTGCTCTGGCTCCAGCTGGGTTCTCACTGACTTAATCAACCAGCTCGATTTCTCTCAGAGGTTTTGTGACAGATTTGAGAGTGTTACTGAGGTTTTCAGTAAGATGCAGTTCAAAGCACTGGGCTGGAAGACTAGAGTCATAGACGCTAATCTAGACTCTGCTGTTAACCTTGTGACCCTTACTCTCAACATCTGTCTAATGAAGATGCTACACTCAGGTGTTTCCACTTTTACTGTTGGTTTGTCTTGGGATTCTATGCCACTATATACTTTTCCATTAAATGTGTTAGTAGATTCCTGAGCATTTTATTCAGCTCTAATGATTTCAGAGATCTTAAGAACTATTTGTGAAATTTGCATTTGCCTAAAAATATTCTTTGAGGCCACAGTATATGTGTGATATCTGATGCCATTATCATCACCAGCATTTACTAGGGGCTTACTGTGTGCTGTACCAAATGCTTTATATATATTATCCTATTTAATCATTTTAATCTTCAATTATTTTGATATAAGAGGTAATATTACCTCAATTTTAGAGATGAGAAAACTCAAATTTCGAAAGAGTGTGCTGACAATCAGTTAGGAAGTGCTAGACTCAAGTCTCAAACTCAAGGTTGTCCATTTCAAATACCATTCTTGTGCTACATTCACTCCCATATGGGCACAATAAGAGTAATAAAATACTGGGCACTTTTTGGTGCCTTTTACAAAATCATTAACCTTTGGGGAGAATGGATTTTCATCCTTAGATCCCCTTCCTCAATATCTGTACCCTCAGTGCCCATTATAACTCCCACCCAATGAAAATAGAGGACTGTCAGTGTTGACACTCCCACGTCAATGATTTCACCTTTAAAATGTTTCCCTTGAATATGTATATATTTATTTTTAATTAATTAATTTTATTGAAATATAGTCTATTTATAATTATTAATTTCTAGTGTACAGCACAGTGATTTTGTTTTATATATATATGTATATCATTATTTTTAAAGAAGCTATTGGATCTCTCCTCTGTTTCTGTGCTAGAAAAAGTTTTATTTTTGTTAAATTTAATCCTTGGAGTTTTCAGGGCAGCAAAAGTTTCAGAGACTTATAAAAACATTAAAATAAAAGCATATGATTTCCTTGCCTTTCTGGACTCCTTGTCATTTCCTTTCTCCTTCCCAAACCCCTAGTTTTTCTTTTACTAACATGCAGATTTCCGAGGGATACCTATTGGAAAGCATTTTCATGTGTTCTACCTCTAGCGTGTGTTTATGCAATGTGCTTTCAAACTTTTCTCTGTGATCTTGGATTATATATTCTAAAGTAAAAAATAAAATATTCAAATGTCTCTTAGCTTAAAGAAAGAAATTCAGTTCTGGAAGGGTATATTTATGTTGCCAGTCATTCTGTCTGTTGTGTAACTATGAGGAAAATGGCAAGAGAAAAAGCTCAGTGTGAGAATTGGGCATTTATAAGCATCTGTAAGGTGCCTACTGTATGCCACCTCTGGCATTATAAGCCTTGGGATGATAAGGAAAAGAAGGCAAGAGATATGAGCGCTGTCTTCAGTAAAGTTATTAATATATATGTATACATAATTGTATACCTACTCTAGATAAGCACTCATAGACATTACCTTAATCCTTGCTTCAACTGAATAGACGAGGCAATAAATACCAAATATTTACGATCCTTAAGTGTCCACGTACTGTAAACAGTATGCACTACATGAGCAAGCTGAGTGGGGATTAGGCAGTGCATGGATTTACAGTCTGGTTGAGAAACAAAAAGAACAGCTCACATAAATTAACAGGAAAATAAAATGGTCTATCATTAAGCACAAAGTTGCATGACGTGGACTGTTATATGAGGCTCCGTGGAGGCAGAGATCTGTTAGGGGACACCCGTAGGGTACTGGCAGGTTTACAGGCAAAACAACAGCATAAGAAAGGACATTAATGTGGGGAAAGCAGCCAACCACGTGGTGACTCTTCCAATTGGAGTTATATATCATATACTGAGGTTAAAAAGATGGGATTGGCCCTAAGTCACTTATTGTGGAGAAAATGTAGTCATTTCTGGAGATTGAAATGGACTTTTCTCATATGGGATCAGAGATTATCAGGACTGTTCAGGGCTGATGCTTTTAGGGGTTAGCTTGATACCACCAGAGGATAAGAGTCATAAATAGCCAGAGAGACCCAACAATGGTTTTGCATACCTGCTTCCAGAAGCATCCTTTAGATTTCCTTTTATTTATTTATTTTTTAAATTATAAAGTAGCGTGAATTAGATCTTCTTTTGTCACTAGTAACAAAATTAAGATTGGCTAACAAAGAACAAAAGAACGGAAGGAGCAGGAAGTGAGTGAAGGGCAGAGACTCTTCCAGCAGAGGGGGCTGGGGAAGTTATCCTGAAGGGAGATCCCTAATTGTCTCACATTTACAGAGAAGAAACTCATTTGACTGCAACAACTCACTCAGTAAATATTTTGATTTCTCTCTACTAGTGAGACCCTGCAAGATTCTAGCCTAGCCACGGAAACTTGGAGATCGCCAGCTGAAAGACAGAGCAGAAGGTGACTATTTATTATTTAGCACTCAAGACCAGTATTGTTTCACTTTATTTTATTTAAAGATATTAAAGTTTGGTAGCTACTTGGAAGAAAGGTATTTTTCAATAACCAAGCATCATTTATTTAACTTATACTGCCTGCAATATGATTTATTTTATTGGTCATTCCACAAAATGCTACTTTCAGAATAGACACTGCCTCCCTTATCTGCAGCCCCTCATCCCTTCAGTCAGTTCATCAGTCAATCTGTCTTCCTTTTTTCTCTTTCTTCCCTTTTCTCTTATTTTTTTTATGAGAAAGAGACAGAGACAGAGAGAGAGAGAGAACTAAGCAAATGACTCATAGGTAACCTGCAAATTATTTTATTAAAGGAATATCATGATATTTATGCTGCTATGTATCCACTAAATGATACAGTTTCCATTCTTCATCCCACACATAAACCAAAAGCAAGCAGTGATTTACTTGGCATCACATCTTAAATGAAAGTGAACTTTGCTGAGAAGCTCTGGCTTCTGATGGTCATATCTTACTCTAATAAAGGTTGATGTAATGGGTGGAAGAGAGGTAAATTTGAGTTTATAATGAGGATGATCCTTTATCATTCCCGACAGATTCTGTGCTCTGAGTAGGCAGTAATGAAATAAGAGCCTCCGGACTTATAAAAGCATAAATAAGCTTCCTAGTAACAACTTTATTGCAACTTTGCTGGGATTAACCCCTGAATGCCCATGTAGATTTCTTTGCCCAGAACTCTTATGGATTACTTAGGTGGGGAAGAGATTGGAAGAACAATATTAGTGTCCCTTTCAAGGGGCAGCTTTTCCCTCAATATCCTCACAAATATAGTGCAGGTTTGAAGGGAGCTACTGACACTATTCAAACATGTGCAGACTAGATCTCCAGAAAGCCTTCAGACTGGGATGACTTGGACCAAGAGGCCAATGAAGAGAAGTCATGGGTGAGAGGACTTCATCATGAAGGACTATTATGTAGGATAAGAGAGCAGTCAGTAGAGTCTAAAGGGCAAAAGTTTAAGAAAGGGCACATTTAGCCACACATTAAACAAAAAACATCAGCTGGAATTCTCTGCGTTATTCTTTTTTTCCCTCCCCAGTTACACAAGTGAGATCTTCTGCCATTTTGAGAGAGACACCTTATAAATCTAAACATACTTATATTCATGACAGGGGAAGGGCTTAGAAGATGTTCAAAGGAATAGTAGTCGTTTAAAAATTTTTTTCTGGTCCACCTTTACTCCATCCGTCTTTTCCGATTCAACTCCCTCTCTCAGCTGTGACTCACAGTAAAAGCATCAGACTGAAAATGAAAGTAATGTTAAATAGTTTGCCTCTCTTGTGCTCTAATCTAATTATCATGTGTATTGAAAAGGATTCTAAGATCCAGCCTGGACTCAGAAGAGGTGCTTGGAGTAAAGAGTGATGACTCCTATGGACATGGGGGAGAAGAGAGACATTGGCCCTTGACGTTCTTTAAGAGAACCATTCAGACACCCCTGCCAATCCTCAGTCTTCGTAACAGTCCTTAGCATTTGCCTAATCATTTCTGTGTGTCAGACAGTATTCCGTGTTCTCTTTTTTCATCTCCAGAACAGCATGATGAACAAAGTGCTTTTATCAATGAGGAAACAGGCTTAGGGAAGTGAAATAATGGCTCTTGGTCGCAAAGCATGGTTAACTACTTAGCTGTTTGGCAATAGCACTAATTGAGATAAAGATGCAGGATGATCGGAAAGTGACAGTCACCAACTCGTAAATTACTCTTCCATACCAGCCTCAGTACCAACTCATTCGAATTCTGGCTAAGCATTCTACATGCAGTGTCTCATTTCATCTTCACAATGATTCTGTTGGGTAGCTGAATAGTCCCAAACAGTGACTGGCACGGTTATTAGCCAATAGTTAAAATGGAATTTATATGCACACTAAGGAACAGTTGGAGTCCCAATTATCTTTCATGACTCCATTTAGAAGATTATCTTTTTGAGAACAGAAAAACAAGTGGGGCAACCCATTGGAGGTCCATGTTTATTCCCTATCACAGAATCACTCAGTTCAACTGTGCTGAAGTATCAGTATAGAGGCGATCCGGAAGTAGTGGAATGCTATATTTATGTCTTTATTTTAAGATAATATTAAAATTCAATGCAGGTAAATATTTTACACATCTTACTGTTTTTTATAATTCATTGTGTATCTCATTTCTCTTGTGCCAGTTTTATATGGCTTATTTTATGGACCAAAGCCCATTATGGAAATTAAAACATTAGCAGAGAGAAGAAGGAGGACCTTCTGTCGGCCATGTCTCCACTCCCTCACATAAACTGTCTCCTGAAAAACTAGTCAAGTTGATTTATTCTCATTAGGACTTTACCATTTCTGTTTTTGATGAGTGAGGTCACATCATGCTACCCTCCTTCTCAGTCCTTTTCCTAGAAAACTCACATACACATGGTCAGTAATTCATACAAGTAGGCAACGGAACACATAAATAATCCTTCAAATGCAGACGTTATCATTATTAACAGAGTCATGGCTGACTGTTCCCACTGTTTTTCACACATACTCTCATTAATTCCAGTAATTATTCTGCTGTTTTATCTGGGAAACAGTGAGCATCCTGGGAAGAAGGCTCTATTAGCAGGAATCTAGTCATCTCTGTACCATGTTTCTAGAAAGAAAATGTTATACAACTAAAAAGCAGGAGAAAAGAGCATAAGGCTTATGTACCTAATGGAAAGCACCAAAAAATATCTAAGTATCACTGCAACTGGAAAGGATAAAGAAGACAAGGAAAGCCAGAAGCATGCTACAGTGAAGGAAGCAAGGACTTTGGACTTCCCCAGACTCAGTTCTAGCCAGCTAGGCAACTGGGGGTATTTCACAGCATTGCTGAGACTGTCTCTTTATCTGTGACACTGACACCTGACAACCCAGGGTTAGAGTGGTAATTAAGTGATTAAATGCACACAAAGAGTCTAGCCCATTTTAAAAAACTGTCAAAAATTTTAAAAAAGAAATGAGATACGTAATGAATTATACAAACAAGTGAGATTTGTAACATCTAATCTTTACTAGTTCAGTAAAGACTTAATTCCTTTCTTGGCACTGCCTCATCCCTCAAAAAGAAATATAGGATTTAACTTTTTTTCTCCAAACCCTTATTATTTCGGGAAAAACTCTGCTTATTCAAACAAAGACAGAACAGAAACAAACAAGCAAAAAAACAAAAACAAAAACAAAAACAAAAACAAAACTGCCCTGCCCAGGAGAGAGGGCCAATTTTTGGTGAGGTATGCTGATACCCATCTTAGGGTAGAACAGAAGAGGTTGTCAAATTTCTTATTTTTCCAAGGTGACTGACAATCAATTTATTTAGTTCCCTCTAATATTTGCCTCTCACCTTTCCCTGATAACAGAAAATAAATGTCCCTTTAGTAAACATTTGCCCCTACATACACCTTTCTCCTTTCTGCTCAAATGGTTCAGGTAGATTGGATCCCAGTTGCTAGTTTTAGGGTTAGGAGTATGCCCCAAGCTTGACCAATGACAAATTTCAAGAATATCTTATTTGCAACAGTATGCCCCAAGCTTGACCAATGACAAATTTCAAGAATATCTTATTTGCAACAACAAGAAATTATTTCTCTTGAGAGATGGTAGGGCAGGGGCCACCATATGGTAACATTTTATCCAAGAAGGTGTCTGACATAGAAATAGAGAGGTTTACCCCCCCCACACACACACACCACATAGAAGCACAAAAGATGAGCATCTAAACCAACCCAGATGCAGGGACCCACAGAAACTTTCCAGGAGTGAGGGTCTGAGTTAGCTAGAAAAATAATGCCCACAGAGCACACCATAAAAAGGAAACAGCGTGTGCAAAGATAGTGCGGAATCATAGAAGAGATGTAAGGTTTTGGAAGTGGGACAAAGTTAAGAATGGCTAGAGCCACCGATTATGAGCAAGGGCCCCATGATTTGTAAGGTTGGAGGGCTTCACATAATTTGTTAAAATTTATTTTCAAATCTACATCTCTTCACTGCGAAAGAGAGTTGTGATGGCGATGGCAAATAAGTAACACAGGTAACAACTCTAACTTCTAAGGAAGGAGAGCTGGAATCTTTGAATAATGTGCCAATTCCAGGAAATAGAATGGAATAAATTTGTGAAGATGGATGGTACTGAACAGAGTCTACTATCAGGCAGGTGGGTCCACTTTCTTAGTAAGTAAAAAGAGACATACATTCTTTCTTACGTAAGTTTTGCTTAGAATGTCCTCTTATGTGCGAGTAAAATGCCCCCCCACCACTTCTACTTTATGTCTTTTTCCTTCTTAAAACTCTTTGAGTTGACCCCCTATACAGGGCTATGGGTAGATAAGTTTTTCCTAACTATCCCCAGCCCACCCTTATGATTTGTGCATTTTGCAAATGTGGTTTTGTAACTTTCTTTGTTTTATACAAAAAATGCCTGTACAAAAAAGAGCTTCCCTAAATAAGAGAAACACTGTGTGTATGAGAGGGCTGGCAGCACCTGCGGCCCCTGGAATGCATGACTTCAGTTGATGTATGTCCTGGTCACAAAGCATTCCTTCCTCTGGAATATTTTCTCAACAAATAAATATTCATTTTTTATTTTATTCTAAATTTTATACTAGGCACAGATACAGTTTCAAAGACAATATTTGCATAATTTCTGCTTCAATAGTTCCTCTCTTCTCTAAGTTATATCCTTTTGAAACCTTGTATTAAGTTATAAACAATGCTGTAGTAAAACAAACAAGGATTTTGGAGACAGACAGTCCTGAGTTCACATCAGAGTTCTACTATTGATACATTAGTGAACTTTGAGTATTTACTTAACCTCTTCAGATATCAGTTACTTTATTTTAAAAATGGGGATAATAATACTGATTTATGGTAGTTGTTAAATAAAATAGTGCACATAAACTGCCCTGTCCCTTATACAGAAGTGAGCTACAAATATTGGCTCTACTTTCCTCCTGCTCACCTG